AAAAAAAAAACTTTGTTCACTTTAGTTAAATGATCTCTGCAGCTCAAATTTGCTTCAATAGATGCTAAATGTAAATAAAAATGTTCCGTTTATTTTACCTCTTTTGCAATAAACTCAATCTCTGCCTCGTAGTTTTTATTGTGCATGTTGGACTCCACTTTGATCATGACGGAGGTACATGCAATGATATCTCCAGAAGTCAAAAGATCTTCCTCACCGATGACAGCATTGATCAAAGAACTCTTTCCAGCTCCAGTTTCACCAAAGACACCAACCAGTTCCCTCTTGTCTGTCTCTAGATCCTTGATGCTTTTCCTGTTAAGAACGTAGCTGTGTTTTAATTCATTCACATTTGAAACAAATAATAAATATATTAAAAATGACAATAATTACCAGTCTTCAATACAAATGTTAAGTTGTCTTTTTCTACTTCTAGCACCTTGGAAGCCAAGCANCTGTTTTTCAAAGGATGCCTGAAACTGAAGGCTGCCTGAACATGCATAGTACGTGTACTTGGATAAAATCCAGAACTCTCTTGCTGTGAGCCAAAAGTACTAACCACGAAGCCAACATTTTCTCTTTCATTCCTCAAAAAAAAGCTTCAGGCTGAAAGAGTATTGCTAGTCCTAAGCAATATTTACACACTTTTACTTATACTTACTTACCAAGGACAAAAGTTAATAATAATAATAGCAATTATGCAAAATGGAAAAATAAACTTAAGATTTACCTTAGGAGTATGATCATTTATTTTCTGTAAAGCCTAAGTTTTCTGTGGGACAGGTTGTCCTTTAGAATTTGTCTGCATTTGTCACCATGTGCTACATTGACAATCTGATCTGTTTTCAATGTCTTTTTGATGGTAAAAAATATCCCAAAAAAACATTGAAAATATCAAACACTGAAAAAAAGCACTTTTGGCATCTTAAATCACTTACCGAGCACTATTGTTATGTGACTGATCTGACTTGGAGCAGATAAAGTGAATCTGACGACACTCGCCACCATTTCCAATAAGACTTTTAACACTTTTCAGGATTTTCCAGGGTCCTTTCTTTGATGCTGCTCGGTTCATTTCAGTCACAATCCACACAGTAGAACAGTCTCCAACAATCTAAAGTTGCATCATAAATATGGTGATTATCATTGCTTCATATGACTTTAAAATGTTACAGTTTTAGTTAAAAGCACAGTGCATGAGTCTAAATGACCTGTTTCCATATGTTATCCCTGCTCTTGTTAATGTCACCGTTTCCAGGAAGGTCCACCAGTGTGACGTGCTGGAGAAGTGGATTCTCTGGTACCTTCACAGTCACACACTTTACCAGTGGCCAATATGAGCGCCCCCCTTCAGTGTTATTTTTTGTGAACTTTACTAATTCTTCAGATAGCTCTTTAGCCTGCAAAACACGGAAAGACAAAATATCATGTTGGGTTGCTTTATATATCACTCAAACGTGCTCATCAAATTGTATTCAATGATCCAAGTGTGCATATAAGTAAGAAAAGAAAGAATATATATTCTGAACCAAAACCACCAAATAAACAACAGAAAAACAGCAAGAGCAAAAACATTATGGTATGTTCATTTGTGCTTTAACATTACTTTGAACAAAGTCTAATAAACTCAGATCTCCACTTACTGTTTTAAATGTTAATAAAAGCTTTCTTGGTGAGTTTTCTAAGAACTCTGGAATGTCTTTGAAGTATTTGTTCCCCATCAGTTCTTCACAAGTTTTCTGTTTCCATTCTTCTCTATACAGTGCCTTCAGCTTTTCAACAAAGTCCTTTTTATCATCACTACCATCACTATCATCGTC